AGCACCAGTGTCTACAAGAAATGATCTACCTGAGTTCCAGTCTTTAACGTAAAAACGGCGACTTTCTAGTCCATCAGTGATTGCCGCGTTCACTAATAGCGCGCGTCGTTTCCCGTCCACGTACACGGGTCACGACACTTAGTAGCGCGCTCCCTAAAACGCTGATGGTAAAAGCACAATTTTCCCGTAGAATCGTTGCGTCCAGAGGCAGGCGTAGCAGCACGACTTTTGGCATTCTGCTTTTGTCCACGAGTACGCGAGCGGCTGCGATTTTGTAACAACGCATTCAGCTTGAGATTAATCATCCTCTCTATTTGTTCTGCGAGCGTTGCACTGTCGGAGACTGCGTTGATGTTAACTTCATTGACTCGCTTGGACGGGCTCACCTCATGCACGGCATCCGCAAGTTTTAAGAGCTGGTTAACGTCAGTCTCTTGTGTAGCTGCTAGCACTGTTTGCAAGTTCGATGGCAATCGAGTCTTCCATATCTGCACGACAAATGCATCGGTAGTAGACGATGTAGCGTGGGACTTCAAGCATCTCTAGAACTCGGATGGCTTTCGGTCGCCCATCTGCTCGCCCTCGAGCATTTTCTTGACGCGCGCACTGTCTGACTCAGTGTAGCGCTCGATCATCTTGCTTTTCAAGTCAGTGTACCTGTTTTGGGGCGGTGGTGTCACCACGACGTCCTCCATCTTTTGCAGAGCTGCTGCTGGCAAGCTTGAAATGACGTTGGAGTACTTCTGCTGTTCGTCGGTGATGCCAGAGGTCTCGAACGTAGCTTCGAGTACCGCAAAGTACAGAGCGATACTTTTTTCGGTGAATGCAGGTGCGCGAAACCGTCCGTGCACGTTCACGACGGGTGCACCGGCGGTGGTTACCGCGGCGACTTCATTGTTAACGGGCGGGGTACCGCCAGTGCCGGTGCGGGTGCCGGTGGTAGGCATGTTGCAAACTTTTTGATAACAGCACGCACACACGAAAAAAAAAACAAAAAAATATGTCACTCGAGGCACTTAATAGTTTTTTTAATCACTTTTTCACCCTTTAATCACGTCGGGGTCACCAATTTGAGGTGATTTGGTTGGGTGAATATAAGCTTTAATAATGATTTATTCAAAGTAACTAAAACTAATACAGAAGGTCACTAGTGTCAATTGTGTGACTCGGCAGAACGCGGACAAGCAGATCAGGCAGAGAGGTCGAGATCAGCGCGGGTCGCCGGTTCGAGCGAGAGTGTCGATACACCCCCAGCGAGGTATACTCATTAACGCTGAAAGCGAGGTGGAAGGGAAAAGTCCCTCTCGCGGGGCGCGGGAAAACAGTCGCTGGGTCTGAGGGTAATTAGCGAGGGACGGGCGTGCGTTTTCTCAAAACAGCGGAGCAGCCGAAAGAACGGTTTATTGCGAGCTTATAAAAAAAGGGTTAGGCGCGTCGGCGGCCAGACGTTTTCTATTTTATTGCGCGGGACCGTCGCGGCAGTGGCTGCGAGATTTACAATGTTTGTTGAGAGAAAGTATGAACATCTGCCAAACATTTGATGAGAGAGCGCACGCCACAATTACATCAGTTTCCATGTCTTTAAGAAGAGATACTATTGATAATGGGTCATATTGCGTAGTCTCTTGACCATCTTATCTCTTGGAATTTTTAGGAGTTCGCAACGCCAAAAAATATGTTCTATATCCTCCTTTTCTTTATTGCATCTACACATATCAGTTTTGACAATATTAAACCTAAATAAATAAGAATTGAGTGACATATGTCCGCTTCTGATTCGATTTATAGTTGTTATTGATTTTCTAGGTAAGTAGGCAAATTTCGAAAACCATGGCTTCTTGCTTTCTTTGAAATAATGGTTAAAATAAGAGGTGCCTTTATTTTGGCTGGTGGAAATTAGATAATCAAAATTTTCTTGGTAGCAATCTTTCCTAAATTTACTAATAAGATCCGTTTGAGGAAGTTCAATGTTCATAAAAGTTCCATTTTCGGCTGCTGATTTGGCTTCTAGGTCGGCAGATTCATTACCTACTATACCTTTATAAGAAGGTATCCATATCATTTTTATATTTTTGTTCCGTCGTCACAATGTATGTGGGCGAATGTGTGAGTGTGTCGGTAGGCCCACGCAAAGGCGACTAGGCGGCGCCACCTTACGGGCTTGATTCCCACGATTTGTTACCGGCGAGCGAGAGAGCGCGCGAAAACGGACAGTCAGTCAAGAGCAAGCAGTGATCGCGTGCGCAGCTCTCATCTTCACCTCGTGAACGGAGTCTTTGTTCGTCGTGCCCGTTGGTTTTCTGTTCCAGGTGAGCAACAACGAGAACAACAGTCAACAACTCTAGCAACAGCAACAACTTACAATAGATTATTAAACGATTAAACAAACGAGAAGCTCACGCTTCTCAACTGGCGAGAAGCCCATGTTTCTCAACTAATTAACAAATTATTGTTATTGGTCTCCACATCGCCAATAGAACTTGTTCGGCTTCACCGAGTCGAACATCATCTTGATCATTGTCACTTTGATCGTAAATCAATCGTGTGTGAAAGTGTGTGTGTAAGAGCTCTCGGTGCGTGCACGGCCACGTGGCCGGTGAATTTCTCCTCGCGCATTCTTTCTCTTTGTTCTAACAAATACCGGCGTGCGTACAAGTCACTTAGTGCGGCGTTACTCGTTATTCAATCTCCTTACGTCATCCAATCTTTGTATCAATCTTTTCAGCATCAGTGCATTTTCAAATAAAAGTGGTTTTTTATGCCTTGCAGGCTTTTTCCCTAAATAGTGTCTTATTTCTTTGTCTTTCGAATAAACAATTTCATAATTAAACTTAAACCAAAAAATCGTGAAAAATTCCAACAATAAAAAACAATTGACCAAATACCATCTAAGGTATTTGGATATTATCATAACATAAAACATGGTGCCTCCTGTGAGGTTTGAATACCGATCGTTTTCTTTGTGCGCGAGTGACGTCTGGCGAAACAAGTGACCGCGCGCATCGTATAAACACAGCGTATTAGTACTCGTTGAGTTCTGAGAATTCGGCGCGAACACGCCGTTGAAAGTCAAGCGCAAAGTTATCGCAGTTTTAACTACATCAATCAACCTCGTTCTTTGTCGACGCCATCTATCAACATATAGCCGTCACTCTCATCCAAGGAAACCTCATCGCCCAGTGGAGCCTCTGCATCGTAGGAATAATTAAGATAAGACTTTTATTTAGTTGAAATTTGCGATTATTTTTTATCCACTTATTTATCGATTTGAATTTTCGGACACGTGTTCGAATGCGCGTTGTCGCTGCGCGCGTTGCAGCGACCGCATAACGAAATCATATTTGCGATACATCATTTTATTGAACTTGAATGCCCTTTTCTTTAAATAGAGTTGTTCGAACAATCATCAACTTTCAATTGAATCCTTTTAATGTCTTGCGCCTAGCGAGCAAAATAATTTTATGCATTGATTTTAACGAACTCAAACAATACTTTTGAAATTATTAGCATAATTCTCATATTCATGTTCTATACACAATTAACGTTTCGATTTTTTAAATTCATTCCAATTTAAATTGTTTTAGCCATTAAAATCATATCTGATTTTTTTTTGTTTTATTAATTTGATAAAGCTAGACACTATGAATTTATCAAGGGATCAAACGCTTCGAGTGGAGCAAATCGCTACTAAATTTCAATCCCTTGAAAGGTATGTGAAGGTGTTAGCTGACTATTTGAAAGATAACCCAAATCCCACTAACGCTAAGTTACGACTTAAAAAAGTCGAGAACTTCTACGATGAGTATCTTCAGCTCAATGAAGAGCTTTTCAAACTCCAACCAACACATGCCCTTGTCGAGTCGTTCCAAGAGTTATCTAACCTTTATTACGAGGTAGCCACTTCGACTACGGTATTATTCGAAGGACCGTCAGCTCATTCCACCTTGAACAATAGCAACATTACAATCACTGAGCGGCAAGATAGGCCCAGACTTCCCGATATTACCATAGAGAAATTTGATGGATCGCGCAAAAATTGGGCCATATTCAAAAGCAACTTTGTTACCCTCGTTCACAACCGAACCGACCTTAGCGATGATTTTAAGGCAGGACAGCTTTTTTCCCTTTTAACTGGTAGTGCTCGTAGTAAGGTCCAGGAGTACGATCCATGTGCCAATGATGACTATGCCAATACGTGGCAAGCCTTGTTAGATTCATACGATCACAAACGGATTCTAGCTAATCGTCACCTAAACGCGATTCTAGATCTTCCGAAAGTCAGGGGAGACAGGAATGACGGGGGAGTAGCTCTCTCTGACCTTTATGACACCGCTCGTCAACATCTCAATGTCCTGAAGCGAATTGACGCACAACCAAGCGACGAGATTGTCGTGAGGATCATTGAGAGGTGCCTGCCTCCTTATCTCTTTGGACGCTGGAATGACAAATTGGAAGTAAATCAACTCCCTTCTCTAGAGTCCTTATTTCAATTCATCCAAAAGGCAATTTTCAAACAAGAAGCCTTTGATGAATCGAATGATTATTCATCGAACTCCAGAAAACGTCCAGCTGGATCTTCTATGGATACCCCTAACCCAAAATCACGGGCTAAATCCCTAGTCACTATTACCTCTGATGCACCTACATCACCAGCTCATGTTTCCTTCAATTTGTCATGTCCAAAATGCAAAGGTACTCACCGATTGTTCAAGTGTGATGCCTTCAAATCTCTTGAGGTTCAAGAGCGTTGGAGGTTTGCAAAACAGAACGATCTTTGCTTCAATTGCCTTTGGAAACATCCACGCCCTTGTAGTAGCGATAAACATTGTAAATATCGGGTTGATAACAAGCCTTGTGGAAAGAATCACCACACACTACTTCATTCGGAGACAGGTTCCAAACCCAAGGGTAACAAAGATACCCCAAACTCCAGTACTCCTCAAGCATGACTAGTTCATAAATCTTACACCTCGGTAGCCTTTCCTGCAGATTCTCAGCTGATGACGACAGCTCTCGTTAAGCTCAAAGATAAACGAGGTAATTTTGTCGTGGCACAAGCACTTTTGGATTCTTGTTCTACTGTAAATTTGATAACTGAAAACTTTGCAAATTCTCTGGCCTTACCTAATTCACCTTGCTCAGTAAACATTGAAGCAGTCGATGGTTTATCCACGGCTGTTAACGAATTCATTCAAACCAGTGTTCATTCAAATTACAATAATTCAAAATTTCCAGCTCGTTTTCTGATCGTACCTAAAATTGCTGATGCTGTGCCTAACGACACCTTCCCTCGCAAACTCTTTGACATTCCGAAAAATCTAAAACTCGCTGATCCTCAATTTCATTTACCAAAATCTATCGACATTCTTTTATCATACAGTACCACCTTGTCAGTATTAGCTGTAGGTCAAATCAAACTCCAACACAAAGAATCGGATATCATCTTGCAAAAAACTAGCCTGGGTTGGGTTGTGGCAGGAGGGGTCAGTGATCAATCATCTCCAAATTCAGCTCGGTGTAACTTAATCAAATTAGACAAACTCATTGAGCGTTTCTGGCTTATCGAAGACTTCGATCACGAACCGATTAAGTCACAAGACGATGTCGCTTGTGAGCAACACTTCCTCAATCACACTCAGCGCGATCCTTCTGGTCGTTATATTGTGCGTCTTCCTTTTAGAGATTCCAAATTCAAACTCGGCGAATCCAAATCGCAAGCGCTCAAGCGTTTTCATTTTCTAGAAAGAAGGTTTGAAAGGGATCCGTCGCTAAAGGTAGAGTAATCAAAGGTGATGAACGAGTACCTCACTCTAGGTCATATGAGTCTCAGCGAAGACTCCGAGGACGGCTATTACCTGCCTCATCATGCTGTGATCAAGCAATCCAGCGAAACCACTAAGGTTCGAGTCGTTTTTGACGCTTCATCGAAAACTTCAACGGGAATCTCTCTTAACGATGTCCTGATGGTAGGCCCCACGCTGCAAAACATTATCTTTGAGCAAGTGCTCAGGTTCCGTACTCATACGTACGTCATCACGGCGGACATAGAAAAAATGTATCGTCAAATTCTCATACACCCAGACGATAAGAAATTCCAAAAGCTCTTGTGGCGTGTTGAAGGAAAACTGTCGACTTGTTAACTCAATACCGTAACTTTTGGTACCGCTTCAGCCCCATTCCTGGCAATCCGGACCATTCAACAGCTCGCTCGCGATGAAGCCAAGGACTTCCCACGAGCTAGCAAAATATTACTTCGTGATTTTTATGTCGATGATCTCGTGTCAGGCGGAGAAACTCTTGAGGAGATCTTGGCGATTCGCGACGAGATGATAGCGTTGTTACGTCGAGGAGGTTTTGCCATTCGAAAATGGGCCTCTAATCACTCGTCTGCTCTAGATAGTATTGACAAAACTATCTTTGATTTGGATTGCGTGATCAAGGAAGATCCCATCCAAAAAATGTTAGGCATCGTATGGGATTCCAAACAAGATCTTCTTCAATATTCCACCAATGTCGTTGATCCTCAAGCCACCTCCACAAAGCGATTGCTTTTATCTGAAACATCCGAGATTTACGACCCTCTTGGCCTTTTGGGGCCAGTCGTATTGTTTGCCAAGGTTTTGATCCAAGATTGCTGGAAAGCAAAGATTACCTGGGATGAGTCGCTTCCACAAGACATCTCCTTCAAATAGAAATCGCTGACCAGCGAACTTGCATTATTAAGACAAGTGTCGTTCTCTCGACAATTCCTGGTTTCTAATCCAATTCGGGTTCAAGTTCTTGGATTTTGTGATGCCTGCTCTTATGGAGATGGAGCCTGCATGTTCCTCAGATCCTCAGATTCCACCTATACGGTGGTGATTAGGTTGATTTGCAGCAAGTCGCGAGTCGCACCTCTGAAAGGGGTAACCATTCCTAGGTTGGAGTTATGCTCCGCTTCTCTTCTTAAGAAGCTTTATGTAGAAGCAAAACCCCAATTCAATTTCCCGATCGATCAAACTATTTTTTGGTCCGATTCCACCATCGTTCTGGCCTGGTTAAGAAAGGCCCCGCATCTGCTGAGAGTTTTCGAGTCAAACAGAGTTGCCGACATTCAAACGTTGGGAGATCAGGTCGAATGGCGGCACGTGCGTTCGGAGGACAACCCGGCGGACGTCCTTTCCAGAGGTCAGTTGCCATCCGAGTTTATTAACAATTCACTCTGGACTTCGGGTCCCCCGTGGCTTGCTCTTCCACCGCGCGATTGGCCGGCATCTGCTCATCTCTCTCCCAAGATTTACCAGGACTCAAACAAGGAATCTGTTTAGTGACCAATCCAGTTCCAGTTTCTTCATTCAGTGAAGTCTATTCACGTTTTTCTTCCTATGATCGTTTCATTAGGGTAATAGCATATGTCTCACGATGGAGACTCAAATCTAGAAAACCAAACAAACGCATTTGGCTGTTTCCCGAAATTACAGATCTCTCAGAACGAATTAGAAAAATCATAGCATTGATACGTCCATTATTAGTTCTTGAAGTTGCATCTTCTGAAACTAAAATTCTCAAGCTTCTTCAACAAGAAAGATTTTCACTAGAACTTCGTCATTTATCAAATTCATCTGGATCGCGTCGCAAGGGAACTAGTTTCGACAAGCTAACTCCGTTCATAGATGATCAGGGTCTCATTCGCGTAGGTGGGCGTTTAAAAGATAATCAAAAACATCTAATTCTATTACCCAGGGATCATCACCACATAACTGATCTATTAATTCGTCAAGTTCATCGTTCCAATTTGCATGCCGGAATTCAAACTACACTTTATGCTATCAGGTCCAAATTTTTCATCATCAACGGAAAGAGACAAATCCGAAAAATCATCCGTAGTTGCATAGACTGTATTCGTCAAAAACCACCAGCGGCTCATGCTCAGATGGGCAATTTACCTAAGGCCAGAGTAGATGGATCTCCGGCCTTTGATCACACCGGTGTTGACTTCTTTTGGCCCATGCTTATTAAAGAAAAGAAAAATCGAAATAAGTCCTTCCTAAAGGTCTACGGTAGTGTTTTCATCTGTTTAGCCTCAAAGGCTGTTCACATCGAACTCGTATCAGATTTGTCTACTGAAGGTTTTTTGATTGCTTTCCGTCGGTTCGTCTCACGTCGAGGCATACCAAGTAATGTGTATTCCGATAACGGCACCAATTTCATAGGTGCAGACAGAAAGCTTCAAGAACTTTACGACCTTTTCGAGAAACCCGAATTTCGCGAAAAGGTGGGCGAACATGCTATCGCGAAAAGGGTCCAATGGCATTTCAACCCTTCCTTGTCGCCTTACTTTGGAGGTCTTTGGGAGGCAGCTGTAAAGAGCTTTAAACACCATCTTAAACGGATACTAGACAAACAACTTACGTTCGAACAACTAGAAACACTCTTAATCGAAATTGAAGCGATATTAAATTCGCGACCTTTGTGTGCTCTTTCAGCCGACCCCAATGACCCACTAGCTATTACACCTGCGCATCTTTTAATCGGACGCCCATTCAATGTCTTACCCGAGGAATCTTTGATTTCAGTTCCAAGTAATCGTCTGTCTACCACTAACTTCATGACCCAGGCCCGACAAACCTTCTGGATGAAGTGGCATCGGGAATATCTCCATGAGATCCAATTACAACAAAAATGGCATACGTCAAACTCGGAAATTAAACCTGGACTGGTTGTCCTCATGATGGATGACTTAACGCATTGTGCAAGGTGGCCACTGGGCGTAATCCTCGAGGTCTTTCCTGGGAGTGACGGCATCGCTCGAGTAGCTTCTGTAAAAACTACATCTGGAGTCTACAAGCGCAATATTACTCGATTATGTATCTTACCGACAGAACAAGAGAATAGTTCTCCTATAGTTCCTCAACAACTTCCAAATTCTAATCGTTGATTGGCCCCAGATGTGCGCGATTGGGTTTGCCGTAAATGAGTCGAACCCTGTCGTATTCTGAGAGGCAGCTGCATTCTGAGAATACAGCCTATAAGCCTGGTCCGAGAATGGTGAAATCGGGAAATTTTCACAGCCAGAAGCTCAAAGTTTTTTGAGACGCGGTATCCGGTCCGGAGAACTGGATTAGGGGACGTTGAGGTTCTAATTAGACTAGGATCAATCGTAGTTAGCCTAATTACTATGTACATACTTGTAAATACGTTCCTTTATTGTTTACCTAGTCTTAGCCATATCATCATTACCTAATCAACAGGGCAATCCCTCCAAAGGAAATTGTTTCTTACTTATTAACTTGTAATCCAACTTGTCAAGCAACCAAAGATTTGTAAATGCGTTCTGTGATATGTTCAGTCACTTCTAGATTAAGCGTTCATTGTATTATTAACATAATCTGCTTCATAAGATTAGATAAATCGGTATTCCGCAGCCTCCCCCGGGAGCATGTTCCGTCGTCACAATGTATGTGTGCGAATGTGTGAGTGTGTCGGTAGGCCCACGCAAAGGCGACTAGGCGGCGCCACCTTACGGGCTTGATTCCCACGATTTGTTACCGGCGAGCGAGAGAGCGCGCGAAAACGGACAGTCAGTCAAGAGCAAGCAGTGATCGCGTGCGCAGCTCTCATCTTCACCTCGCGAACGGAGTCTTTGTTCGTCGTGCCCGTTGGTTTTCTGTTCCAGGTGAGCAACAACGAGAACAACAGTCAACAACTCTAGCAACAGCAACAACTTACAATAGATTATTAAACGATTAAACAAACGAGAAGCTTACGCTTCTCAACTGGCGAGAAGCCCATGTTTCTCAACTAATTAACAAAATATTGTTATTGGTCTCCACATCGCCAATAGAACTTGTTCGGCTTCACCGAGTCGAACATCATCTTGATCATTGTCACCTTGATCGTAAATCAATCGTGTGTGAAAGTGTGTGTGTAAGAGCTCTCGGTGCGTGCACGGCCACGCGGCCGGTGAATTTCTCCTCGCGCATTCTTTCTCTTTGTTCTAACAAATACCGGCGTGCGTACAAGTCACTTAGTGCGGCGTTACTCGTTATTCAATCTCCTTACGTCATCCAATCTTTGTATCAATCTTTTCAGCATCAGTGCATTTTCAAATAAAAGTGGTTTTTTATGCCTTGCAGGCTTTTTCCCTAAATAGTGTCTTATTTCTTTGTCTTTCGAATAAACAATTTCATAATTAAACTTAAACCAAAAAATCGTGAAAAATTCCAACAACAAAAAACAATTGACCAAATACCATCTAAGGTATTTGGATATTATCATAACATAAAACAATTTTTATGTAATTTTCTACAATGTGACAATTTCGTTTTTGTTTGCAATATAAGAGGAGAAGTGAAACCAGAGTTGAATTTATTATTTAAAGCTCTTAAGGCATTTTCGTTATCAGAGAATATTCTAAAGTTATTATTATTTGCATCAGAGCAAATTTTTTCAATGCAAAGATTTAATGCTAGACTTTCCGCCGTAAATATGGAGGCTAAATCTGGAATTTTATAGGAGAAAGTAAATTGAGGTTCGCTACTCCAAACAGCGAGACCCACCTGACTCTTGTCACTAGTATTAAGTTTTGAGCCGTCCGTATATATGTCAATCAATCCGTTTTCGTTCTTAAACATATTGTTGAAAGTTTGAAGATGGTCAGAGCTTTCTATGATTCTTTTACCTGAGTCAAGATCAATGTCAAATGTTTCAAAGAAGCTTTCAAATGGTTGAGTTAATTTGAAGAAAAAGTCGGATTTAATAACTTGATGGGAGTACAACCTAAGATATTCATAACATTTAACTAGTAGCGATTTGTCGTAATTGAAATCGTATTGAAAATCCTCGGATAGTTCAAGAATGCTTTCTATGTTTTTCATCGTATAATTGTCGTTTAAAGACATGCATTTGAGAAGGTACTTGAAACCGAGATATTTATATCTGTATGAGAGATGTACTAATTTTGATTCAGCTAGTATAATATTTAAAGGCGTGCTTTTTTGGTAACCCAAGGCCAGCCTTAAAGAAGCATTTTGTATTTTCTGAAGTTTCTTAAAGTTTGTATCAGCACATGGGGAGATAAGGAAACCGCAGTATTCCAATCTAGATCTAACTAGAGATTGGTAAAGTAGAGATAGAGTACCAGGGTCTGCACCCCACCAAGTCCTTCTTAGGCAGCTAATAATTCTCGTAGTAAAGACACTCTTTCTGACCAAATAATTGATATGCTTCGACCAGTTCAGTTTTTGATCAAGAATCATGCCGAGAAATTTGACTTCTTTCGAAGGTAAAATAATCTCATTTTCAATTTCTAAGCTGATATCTTTCAATTTTATATTATTTTTGTTATAGAAGACTGATTCACATTTATGTAAAGCTAGTTTTTTCAGGAACAGCAATACAGATTCGACTGTAGGTTTAAGGTTGTTAATACCTTCATGTGGCTTCTCACATTCAGTGAATAAAACCACGTCGTCTGCGAATTCTAAAATGTCTATGTCAATTCCTAAGAATGTTTTCAAAAGTCTAGTATAAATGGCGTAAAGAATAGGGCTGAGGACACTTCCCTGAGGGAGGCCCTTGTTCATCAAATAAGTAAGGGGATCATCTGAATTTAAAGGAATGAGGATACGTTCGTAAATAAGAAATTGAATAAAAATGATAAATTTTCTTGGTAAACCGAGTTTAATCAGGTCGTTAATTAGTATATCTGGGATAACCTCATTAAAGGCGCCTTTAACGTCCAGGAAAAAAGCTACTAAGCTTTTCTTTTTGTAGAATGCTTTATAAATGTGTGTGGTTAGGATCGAAAGGTTGTCGGCACAGGATTTACCTTTGCGGAAACCAAACTGTGATGATGAAAAAATTTTGTTGTTCTCTAACCAAAAAAATCAGTCAAGTGTTTATCATTCTTTCGAAAGTTTTTAGGATGCAAGATGCAATCGAAACTGGTCGAACTTTATCGCTGTTGCTTTTTGGAATAAATGTGATTAGATGCCTAGACCAATTTTCTGGGAAAATTCCCTGATTGTAAAAGTCATTGTACATATCCAATAGTAACCGTTTGTAAAATTCCGGTAAAGCGATTAATAATTCGTAGCTAATTCTATCGGCCCCTGGGGATGATTTCAAATTTACAGAGCAAAGTGCTGCGTCAAGTTCCTCAAAAGAGAATGGAGTGTCCATAAAATAGGTTTGCTCTTCATTAGAGTAATAGGATCCTATAAAATCGGATATGTTTTCATGAGGGCATAGATCCAAGTTTTTAGGGGTGCACAATTCCGAAAGGCATTGTTGTGCGTTAAGTATAGCTATTTTGTTACCATTAAGGTAGGTCTGCTCAAACCGTTTTTGAACGCACCGACCTTTCTCCACACGTCTGAAAGTCTAGCGTTACGATTTAGTGAAATACAAAAATATATTAATGAGTTCTTTTTTTCTTCATATAAAGTTCTTGTAGTTTGAGCTTCTAGTTTTTTATGATTTATAAAAGATTTTAAGTTACATCTATTATAACGAATTTAATTCATTCGTTATGTCTCTCTCTTCCCACGCATGCATGTACACAATTTATATACTTGTACTATACTTGAATTTACATTATAATGTACAGCAGCCTGCAGCAGCCGACAACGCCGAAGTGTAAGGTAAGAGAGAGAGCCCGGCATGTCTACTCATGTGCGTACAAGCAGAGAGAGTCGCGCTCGCATGTATGCGTGTATGCGCGTGGTCGCGCTGCCGAAAAGTGCGATAAAAGAGTGGGGACGCCTCTCGCGGCAATTGACTGGCAGACGTAACGCGGGCGACACGTGTCTGGGAGCGCATCGAGGCAAGGGCTTTTCCGTCCTTTTTTTGCTTGGGCAATCGCCGCGATTTAGCGTTCGTCAACTTCGTCCTCTTTACTGGAGAGTTTGGACCTTCGGCCTGGCATTGCCTAGAAGTGTTTTGCGAGTGCGTACTGTAGTGCGGCGACTTGATAGAGTGGTGTGCGCGTGCTGGGACCTAGTGCTAGGCGGTCCCGCGCTTCTCCACTGGCACTGCACCCGGCGTCCGGGAACGCCGTTCGGCGAGCGGATACTCTTTGTACGGAGGGCCTGGCCATTGCCATCGTATTGTAAGTACCTACTCGTTTGGCTCTCTCTTGCTGGCTTGCCGCTTCTCTCTCTCTCTCTTTGCCGACTTACTGCTCTGTGTACTTTCCCTTGGATGCTTTGTATAAATTATTTTTATCCTTATTTTCAGTGTTTCTCTAATTTTGCGTCCAACTCTCACTCCTTATCCTTGGCGAATTCTCTGCGCCCGTCGCTACCTTTCGCGCTTTTCAGCCACTGCTACCTGCGACGCTCTACGCGGGCCACGAGGCTGCCTGATATTGTGGCTAATTGAAGGGCCTGGTCACACGTGCTACAACGCACCCGCCTCGTGGCATCAGTAACTGGTTAAGCCGAGCTGTCAATCATTTTATCCTCTCGATTATAACGACGAGTTAGCTAAAACCCCGTTATACTATAATGAATATAATGAATAGATCTAAACGAGGCATTCCTCCGTCTAACAATTTTGTCACATTTTTTGTTCCACCAAATGGTTTTTCTTTTTTTTCTTGTAGATTCAAATGCCACAGGTTTTTTCTTTTTACAACTAGATTCGTCTAGAGATTTATATATAAAATCCATAAAAATATTATACCTATTGACAACTGACTCGTTAATAAAGGTCATGCTATTAAATTTAATTTTTTCATCATCTAATAATTTCAAAAATTTCGTAAAATCAATTTTTTTTAGATTGATGCGATAATTATCTCTATTTTGTTCGTCGATTTTCAGATTAAACGATATTTTAATGGGGTAGTGATCGCTTCCCCATGAATCTTGCAAAACTGACCAGTTCGCTTTAAAGGCTTGATACAAAGATACAAAAGTTAAGTCTATGTTTGTA